ACAAATGTCTTTGTGACTAGAATATAAGGTTGAGTAAGAAATAAGATGCAGACATGAAAATGGAACAGTAGTTGATATAAGATAATTTGATAAAACACATACAAATGGAATATTTAAAGTAATATCATTAGGAAAAGTTTGAAACAAGGACTAAGACAAGTTGGAATATATCACATAATGCACACCAAAATAAAATTTAAGTTGGTTAGAGAAAACAGTTTCCTAAGGGGATACTATTAAGCAATTGCAAATATAGTGACATCTGTTTGTGGATGCATTCGGAATAAACACATTGAAAAAACAAACAAATATGGATGAAAATTTAAGTAGAATCTCTAATAAGTAGAAGAAAAAAGTATTGGTAATTATAAGGGTCACAAGAGTAAACTTCCTGAACTAGCAGCGCACCAGTTAAAGACTCTGGTGTAAACACGAACAAAGGTCATTGAGATTTCACCATAAAAGCAAAACCACAAAAATAAAACAGAGGAAAACGTATTTGAATATATTTCTTAATGAAGCAGTGTTAGCACAGGGTAGAAAGGCTTAGACAATTAGTAAGTGAAAAAATAATTTTGTCATATAGCCACCTCATTTTCATCTCCACTGGAAAAAATATTAATAAAATGAAAACATACTCTATTCAAACAATTCTAATTGTAAAAAAAAAATGGTAAATCCTGACATCTATTTTTCTGGATTCTTCTAAAAGGCAGAGACAGTTATTCTTAAAGGATTATCTAAAACACACACACAACAGTGTCAATTCTCTGCTTTAAGATGTTGCTTTCTGTTGTGCCTCTCACCCTTTGCCCTTCTTTCCTTCCACAAGGGTTTATTCATTGCTTTATCAATAGAGGACCCTTGGCATTCTGTCTTGAATAGGAAATGCAGAGGGGAAATACTCAGGCCCTGCCTTTGATTATAAAAGAAGGGAGAGAAAAGTGAACCCACATTTCAGCCACAAGTGTTTACTGAGTCCCCTAGTGTACATTAGACACTGGGGCAGGGGTGCTTGGGTTTTATCTGGGAACAAAACAGATCCCTGCTTTTGTGGAATTCGTATTCTTGTAAGTTCCATGCTGATAAAAGTGAAAATTCATGACATACTGACTTTCCCCTATTGTGAAATTCTCGGAAGATTTCTAAAAATATAGATGCCCTGGTCCCACCACTGATTAATTGACTCAGAATCTCTCCAGGTTGAACTGGGCTTAGTATTTCTTTAAAGTTCTCTACGTGGTTCTGACATACAGCCACAGCTTAGAACCACTGAGCTAAATAGTTAGACAAAAGCAGCTCTCAATTGCTATGATTGCCAGATCCATTTAGGAACTAGCTTTCTAAGCATCACTTTTAAAAGAAACAAGCCATACACTTAGAGGGAAGTTCAAACAAAGGCGAGTGATTCTATAAACATAATTCAGGCTTTAGTTCTAATAAGTAGAAAGAAACGAAGCACTAATTCAGCCAGTAGTGACGACTTTGCTCGTCTCCTTCCTGTTGATACACAAAGTAGTTCTTAAGATATAAACAGCATATGTGTTAAGAGATTCATTTTAGGAAATAAATTTAAATGATGTTTGATTTTAATCATAACACTACTCACTTGGAAAAATTTTTTCGAAGTAAATCGCCAATGCCAGATAGAGGCAAGTATCAAATGCCAACATGAAATATATTGGTATAATGAGAGTTGGGCCAACTGATGAATCAGGAAGTGCATTAGAATTCAAATCATAGTCCGAACGTAAAAGCTGTAAATTAAAAAGTAATTAATTGAGGGAAATCAGGTTTATGATAAACTGTAAACAATTAGGTTTAGTATAGGAATAAAATGGCTACTTCTTGCCTAGAACTGGGAATAGAAAGTTAAATAAGGAGATTGCCTACTTCGTGATTCTCAAATCTATTGGAAGGCATGGATTTGTGATCAACTATATTGAGTTTTAGTAATTGCTATGATAAAAATACGTTTCAAATGAAATTGGAGTATTAGTAGGAATTAGGGAATTATGGGAAACGATGATATTTGAGCTCCAACTCAGATAAACTTTCACTTAATAGGACATAGTCAAAAG